CTGAGTCTGAGGAAAAGCTGGTTGTTCTTTTTTTGAAGTTAGATACTGAATTGTGTTCTGATTGCTGAGTCTGAGGAAAAGCTGGTTGTTCTTTTTTTGAAGTTAGATACTGAATTGTGTTCTGATTGCTGAGTCTGAGGAAAAGCTGGTTGTTCTTTTTTTGAAGTTAGATACTGAATTGTGTTCTGATTGCTGAGTCTGAGGCAAAGCTGGTTGAGCTTTGTTGTAGGTAGATACTGAAGTGTTGTGTTCTGATTGCTGAGCCTGAGGAAAAACTGGTTGTTCTTTTTTTAAAGTTAGATACTGAATTGTGTTCTGATTGCTGAGCCTGAGGAAAAACTGGTTGTTCTTTTTTTTTGAAGTTAGATACTGAATTGTATTCTGATTGCTGAGTCTGAGGAAAAGCTGGTTGTTCTTTTTTTGAAGTTAGATACTGAATTGTGTTCTGATTGCTGAGTCTGAGGAAAAGCTGGTTGTTCTTTTTTGAAGTTAGATACTGAATTGTTATGTTCTGATTGATGAGTCTGAGGCAAAGCTGGTTGTTTTTGTTGTAGTTAGATACTGAATTGTTGTGTTCTGATTCTGAACCTGAGGAAAAGCTTGTTATTTTTTGTTGAAGTTAAATACAGAATTGTTGTGTTCTGAGTCTGAGGCAAAGCTGGTTGTTTTTTGTTGAAGTTAGATACAGAATTGTTGTGTTGTGATTGCTGAGGCTGAGGAAAAACTGGTTGTTCTTTTTTTGAAGTTAGATACAGAATTGTTGGCTTTGATTGCTGAGTCTGAGGCAAAAGTGGTTGTTTTTGTTGTAGTTAGATACTGAATTGTTGTGTTGTGATTGCTGAGGCTGAGGAAAAACTGGTTGATTTTTGTTGTTGTTAGATAATGAACTGTGTTCTGATTGCTGAGTTTGAGGAAAAGCTGGTTGTTCTTTTTTGAAGTTAGATAGTGAATTGTTATGTTCTGATTGCTGAGTCTGAGGCAAAGCTGGTTGTTTTTGTTGTAGTTAGATACTGAATTGTTGTGTTCTGATTCTGAGCCTGAGGAAAAGCTTGTTATTTTTTGTTGTAGTTAGATACTGAATTGTTGTGTTGTGAGTCTGAAGCAAAGCTGGTTGTTTTTAGCATGTGTTTTTAACAGATGCTTGACACAAGATTCTTATAGTAAGATGGCTGATAATAAAAAGCAGCATCTTATGTATAGCTGGTATTAAGTATAATCATGGTAAATAGCTTTGTTTTTAATGTCATATACCACATTCTTATGGTCTAAGTGCTCATTCTGAGAAGGATCTAAAATAAAGTCAGATATGGGCAGTGTATGTTGCATAAAACCTTACCCACAATACTTTTGTTTCACATGAAAATACATGTGGCTTTATCGTCTGTAACTATAGTGTGAATATGTTTCATATCAGATTAGACACCAATCTACACCCCACCCACTACCCAAATATGTGTATACTGGCACCTTTCCCAAACTGCTTAGAACATTGCATACAGGTTTTATATAATCTGAAACTTGTTCTGGGAAATTTGTTTGAGTTATATAAAAAAAAGGTATTATTAAGTTACTGCTGATCCTGAGCAACACGTTTGTTTTTGGCTGAAGATAATATTCTGAGAAGAAACCAAATGAATAACAGACTATTATGATCTGACATCTGACCATAAACTGCAGTTGGATAGCAGGAGTTGTTTGTTATTGGCTGAAGATAAACAACAAATCGGTATTGCTGGACAGCTGATCCTCGGATGGAATTTTCTTTCTGCTAAAGTGATAATACCACTGTAAAAGATACAGAGAAAATAATTGTATATTAATAATACAATATCTAATTGTGGATGTTTATTTTAAAACATCCCATACCAAAAGTTCAGTGTATTTTACAACATCAGACATGTTTTTTTATAACAGAAAAGATAAAAATATGATTTTGTTTAGAAACTTGTGTTGTTCAAGTGATGAAATGTATTACTTTTCCCTTCTGCATTACTTAGAGATGTGGATGTAATATTCTGCAGGCAGAATATGTATGTAGATGTTTACTAGGAAAGAGGAAAATTTTTTTAGAGCTTGTGAACCATTCAGTGTCTCTTAAGAACTACATTATCCTAAAACCAATTGTTATTGCAACATTCAACGAATAATCAACTGTGCAATATTGCAAAATGCTCTTAAAAATTAATGTATGTAGAAAAAGCACAAAATATTAGTGTGGGTTGTAGTGGGTGATTTTGTATAGTATTACAAACAAAACTGTTACTAGATTGTTTCAGTCAATATGTTCACTCAAAAGAAGACTACATAAGAAGCATGGATATTGGATAAGTTTATATTTGCTGTAGTTTATTGTACAACACTCCTGAACATTGCCTTAAGCCACAACTTGTTGATAAGTATGTAGAAGCCTTGATTTACTTTACATACGCTACATCAGTCCATTAGTTCAATCCTAGCACAACTTGGTGACAGTAGCATTTACACCATAGTTGATTATATAACACATCAATAAACTACATAGATTCATTCAATTAACCAATCCTAGCTTAGTTTGTGTACAAGTACATATTGGCTGTAGCTTGCTATGTACACTATAATAAACTACATAGATTCATTCAATTAGCCAATCCTAGCTTAGTTTGTGTACAAGTACATATTGGCTGTAGCTTGCTATGTACACTATAATAAACTACATAGATTCATTCCATTACCCAATCCTAGCTTAGTTTGGGTACAAGTACATATTGGCTGTAGCTTGCTATGTACACATCAATAAACTACATAGATTCATTCCATTACCCAATCTGTAGCTTAGTTTGTGTACAAGTACATATTGGCTGTAGCTTGCTATGTACACTATAATAAACTACATAAATTCATTCCATTAACCAATCCTAGCTTAGTTTGTGTACAAGTACATATTGGAATGAATCTATGTAGTTTATTATAGTGTACATAGCAAGCTACAGCCAATTAGCCAATCCTAGCTTAGTTTGTGTACAAGTACATATTGGCTGTAGCTTGCTATGTACACTATAATAAACTACATAGATTCATTCAATTAACCAATCCTAGCTTAGTTTGTGTACAAGTACATATTGGCTGTAGCTTGCTATGTACACTATAATAAACTACATAAGGTCATTCCATTAACTAATCTTACATTGTGCATGTGGGCTGTACTTTTTGTGTAACAATCTAGTAACATAATTAAGTAACAGAGGACTAGTATTAGAACTGGCTTTCCAAATTTTATTGACTCAAGTAGGTAATGTTTTCAAAGATTAATTCATTCTTATATGCTTGTTAACTGATGTTACTATTATTATCTTTTGTACTTAAGTAAACCAGCATGTTATCTTAGTGATAAGTCTGAAAAAAAAAGGAATGTTTATTAGATGCAGTAAGGGTTGTTAGTGAATATATGTATATAAATGTAAGAAAATGGTTTGTCTTCCAATGGTGCTCAAGAAAAACCTAACCTTAGGAAATCTGTAATTTTCTCTCAAATGAAAATGAAGTTTTTGGGTCTTCACTAATTTCAGTAAAGTTGATAATGTAATTGATTATAGAATAGGTCTGAAAATTTGAATAGTACAAGTATAAAATGTTCTCAGAGAAATTAGGTTTAATATCACCTTTCTTTTTGAAGTTCTATCAGTATTGAGACACACTCAAAAATACAAATAAAATATTACCAGCCTTTAGCTTGTAGTGAAGATGTACACTAAGCATTACCTTTAGAAAGGTGGTTTTCTATTTTATACAAAACAACAATGAACAATTTGAGTATGGAGGATTGTTTTTTACAATGTTGTTTAAAAAGTAGACTAACTTTGGAATTTTTATTGTAAAAACTATAATAATATCATTACATGTATTTTACAGACAACAGTTTACTCAGATTTAAAAACTTTTTGATTGCTTTAAGAAAAGCTGTAAATAAAATAAAATGTTTGATACTTCATGAAAAGGAGACATGATCTTGCCACAAGGATGAATGTTGAGATAAATATCCTTTCATTAATAAGGGGGTTAGGTTGCTAACATTAAAAGTTCTGGTATTTTTTTAAAGAAAGAGACTTGTTCTACTAGATAAGAATTACATCTATTGGTATATTTGTATATAAGTATGGGGCTGTACTTTGGAAGTAAAAAAAAAAGGTTACAGTTGTAATCTGGCTGAGTGCTTAATTGTTCTACACTATACACAGTCTTCTGACTGGTTTTGGAAACATAAAACGTTTTTACTGCACCATTAAGAATTTTATAGAAGTAGAATATTAATTAACTCTCAGGTTAAACAAACTTTTTAATATAATAATTAATGTTGGAGTGCCAAATATTTGGGTTGTTATGATATTAAAATTCCTGAAATTTGAGTCTGAAAGTTCTCATTTTTAGTATTCTAACCTTAGCCCTTCAGTTTAATATATTTAAAAGTTGTTTATCCTTTTTTGTCAAAATCCACACAAGCAGGTTCAATTGCTTTAGAACACCCTTTGCCAAGACAAATTATTCTCTTAAAATGTCAGAAAACTGTTAATCTCAGTTTAACCTATCAAACGTTAGACTATTCACTTCTAACACAGTTAACTATACGTTCTCTAATCTTTCTCTGACCTAAACTCTCTTTCACTCGGCTTTACTTTAGGCTCTCTGGTCGCTGCTTTTTATATCCCTCACTAAGGCGTTCTAGAAATCTCCGTAGCCTCGACATCAATTACTTACCGACACAACTTCTAATAATCGTCTACTTTTAACTTCTTATTATGAAAAAACAACAACTAAACAATCGTGAAATATTAACTCACAAAATAAATAATACTTGTACTAAACAGTCTTTTATATCACGACACATTCTGTAGTATATGTTGATATAAATATAATTTTTAATATATAACATGTATACTACACAAATGATATGTTAAGTAAGTCTAGCATTAGGTGGCTGATTGCTTTACTTTTAGTAGGAAGAGGTATTTAGGCTCGTGATCGTCATGTATGATATACTGATCAAGTGAATGTAATAATTCATTTTTAGGAAGTTGCTCCGGAAGTATATGAACGATCTGTTTAGAAGTCTTGTCATAGAGTGGCCATTGTATGAGTTGTAAAAAAGTAACAAGTGGAAGGGCAGGTTTGTTATCCAATTTGTGAACAGCAGTCCCATGCTACACAAATCTGCTTGGGTAGTTTAACAATAGGAACGATTTGATAAAAAAAAAAAAGTTAACAACCGAAACGGCGTTCAGGTTCGTTCCGCCTCAACTTAAGCACTGTTTGCATAGTTATGTAAAAAGTGTGAGCTTGTAGTGCGTGGGAGTACTACTTCTTTATTAAACTGCCCTAATTAACCTGATAAAGTTGATTCATAATGCAGCGCACTATAATTTTTGAAGAATCTGACAGATTTTTAAAAATCAAAACCCGAGTTTTAAAATAGTATAACATTATTATTATAACAAAATTGCTTAATTTGTATACAAAAAGAGGAATTTAAAAAAAGTTATTTTCGTGCTCTAGGATATGTACTGTATCATAGTAAAGCTACATCGTTAGTACATAACGTTAATTTCTAAAAGAACTCAGTGGGTCATTTTAAACTTTGAATGTGATAATGACAAACTTGATGAATTAAAAGAAAAGCAAGTCAATTTTTAATGTTTGCTAATAGTACTACCAGGTGAAACAAGTTGGATCATTTAATTTTAAAGGTAAGTAGTATATTTCATTTTCCTTTTTGCCACGCAGATAATCATGAACCACGATAGTGGTTCATAATAGGGATCGCCCAGGAACTTCACAAAATATATAATAAGAGATACGGGCAAAAACCATCTTACAAAGCAGACTCATTTTTGAAACATCATTCAATACTTTCTATATCAATAGCTAAGGCTGCTAAAACATTGATAATAGCAACAACAAAAAAAATTGTTTTTCTGATTGTTAAACAAAATTCTTCGATTTGTTTTTCATAATATAATTATTTATTTTATTCTTGTTTCACAAGCCTACAGAATAAACGGCTATGAATATTTTGTTCAAACCTACCAAACAAAAACTTCTGCGCAGGTCTTAGGACTATTATTATGAAGATAGTTTTTATATGCGAAAACATCTGTTAGCTGAGTTCTTGCACACATCTTAAAATATAACGTTAATAAGCGGAAACATTGGCACATGTAGATCTTGAAAGTCGAGTTGTTCAACATATAAAAGCTATCTTCAAGTTTTGTACACCAAAAAACTTTTCAACTATTATTATGTTGATTTTGGAAAGTCGAGATTTCCACCCTCTAGATTTTCTAACTTCTTCGCTACCAACACAACCTTTTCGAAGCCATTTAAGCGCTGAAGTTAAACCAGCGTAACCCTGTATTGGGATGTTTGTTTCAGCTCTCGTTTTGTCACAAATTTCACAAGAGGTACAGTAACTAAATCTTTTCCCATACATTTCTTCAGAAGCCCTAGGATACATGCGATACAGTTGTTTTTGTGGTTATAATCTGGGGTTAAATGTCGTGCGCAATACATGTGATTTAAGTGAACGTCCTGTCTTTTCTATCATGAATTTTGGCAAACCAGATTCACACACAACATTCTTAATGATATCATCAACTTTAGGACTAATAAAGTCAGAATAACATTCAGAATCCACAATAAGATCGCAATTATTACACACCAAACCACTAAAAAAACCCAATGGAGACAAAAAACTCCATTTATAGCATCCTCTGTTAATCAAAAACACCTTAGGTGTGAAAAAAAAAAAAAAGGATTGAACGTGCGACTTAAAGGAATGAAATCAAATTTGGCGGCCAAACTAGTATTTACACTTATAGCATTGATAATACTTTTACAGCAAATATTCATTCATTAGTTAGCCAGGCGCGTTTTTTGTTCAACTTGGGGCATCAAGTAAGAAAGTGACACTCGATAGTAACCAATATTATCTTTAGGATCGCAACCCTATTATTTGGAACAGACCTTTACTTTAGAGAACCAACCAGATTCTTTAAATATATGGTGGTAGTTTTTCTCTCTGAAACAGTGTTAATAACTTCCTTTATAGTAACGACATGGAATCTCGATTAATAGTTTCTTGTCATCCCACGCATGCATTCAATAAAGCCGTATCAAGCATCATAATTTACATTAATTGCTTAGCTAATATCACGTGACGCTAAACACTCTTTAATTTGGAAAATTTAATAATATTTAGCAAATCTGTGCTTAAAATTTGAAAATGAATAATAACCGTTCACTCATATGATTGTTTTGAAAACTTGAGCTATAAACTGATAACCCAGTTTGCTTGGCCTAACCAACCTTGTGTATGTATCTGCACGTTTTTCACCCTATAGTTTTGCTGCTCTAAATCAGTCGTATTTAATCCGAATGACAAAAACTAAAAACGGTGTGCTTTTACTCTTAGGTGAAGCTGTTGTAAAAACATTAGACCAATAGCTCACGTGACTTTTTGCGTAGGTGTGTGCAAAAATCTTTGTCAAATCATTTTGCACATCTAGATTATATTTAGACCAAATTTTACACCTAATTGTTGGTTGTAAAGGTCTATCAGTGTACCAAATTTGAAAAACAAAATCCATGAAAGTTAAGTATGTTTTTCTATTAAATAAAATTTCCGTATTTTCGGTGCGAAGAAGAAAAAATAGAAAAAAAAAATTCAATCAAAATTGTATATTTTATATCTTGTGTATTTCTTAATGGATTGCCTTGAAATTTGGTTTGTGAATTAAGGTTCCAGTAGAGCATATCCACGAAAAATACGTAATAGTTTGGATTAACACTATCCGAGCTACAGAAGGTGGAAAATCACTAAACTATCACTCCTGTTAATAACACACAGTGTGTCCTGCAGGTTGTTATGGCCGCATGACACACTATCGTGTTTCTTGATTTCCGTTAATTAGGGACACAAAACGGCCAACACAAGTTAGAATTCACGAATATAATTGACAAACAGGATTTGGTATTCTTGATTTGTCTGCAACAGTCCGCCGTGCCAGAGAAGAATACTATATTATAAATTGGAATAATGCTAAATCAATAGGATATGAACAACACGAAAAAAGAAAGATAAAATAATCCACCTAACTGATCACACACTCAACCTAGCATTAATCTGTCATTTGATTCATCTTTTACCTCTGAGATATATCAGTTTCTAAAAATTCCACTCCTCATCAATAGCCATGGAATGATAGATTATGATCACATTTATTTTTATGATTTTAATCAGCTTTTCTGCTAAGTAATTTAAAATAATAAATTAGTAGCATTAACTCTTAATTTCTCTCTGAATATAGGTTCACTGTTTTGTGTACAAAACAACAACAAAAACATGCATATAGTAGTCAAATTATATCTGCTAGCTTACATTTCATTGAAAATATATATATACCTTACTTACCTTTTCTCTTTTTTACCCCTCTTACAAATTATCTCAAGTACAATTAATTTTCGTAAATACATGCATTCTCATTTCTATCGACAGATGGCAGTTATATGTATTGGTGGGCGTGTTTTCAAGTTCCTTATTATGCTATTACTACTAAATAATATCAATAGGAGGATATCAAAGTGTAAGTAAATCGCTGAATACTTGTAATTTGCAAAAACATTAAACTTTCCGAGTCATATGTCTATTAAGGTTACATAAGCCTAGGGACAGCGATAATTGATATTTCTCATTTGTTACCTGCATTTTAAATTTAACACATTTAATTTGCACTGCAGCAGACAGAATCGTACTAATACTTATAATATACTATAGTACTACTACTAGTAATATAAATGTACCATAGTACAAACAAGTACAACATATTAATAATGCATATTTTAATTTTTGTGGTAATGTAATTTGATTTGTGAGACTTAGGATACATAAAACGAGCCAAATACAGAGACAGCCAGTTTGTTAACAGTTAGAATTTAAAGCAAGTAAGTTTATAAAAGCAGTAACTTTAGATTATTCAATACAATTCAAAAATAAAATAAAGAGAGAAGGCTAAATGAAACTGATGAATAAATTAAGAAATAATTCCAGTTTTCACTTATACTTGGCATGATAATCAAGCTAGGCAAGTTTCTAGAAAAGTAATAAACTTGTTTTACATATTTGTTTCTAATTAATAGAAGCCTGGATTATATTATAGGTGACATCTTAGTGTATCTCATTCTGGACTTGAAAGAGACATTTCACATACCAGGTGAGTGCTCTATGAAAGGTTAACCCACTGATGTTTATTAGTAAGGCATTTATTTTAGTAACTCAAACTACTACATTACATTAAATATCAATTTTAATAAAGTATATGACGGAAACAGATAAGTGCTACAAGGCAAAATAATTTAATTTGAAGTAAAAATTAGTGTGTGCTAATACTGTTGAGCCATTTAAATAATATCTTTGTTGGCCAACATTATTAGGAGCAGTATAATTGGATTTTACAGCTCTGCCGGGTTTCAGTACGTGATTTGATATTACTGTGTATATTTTGTCTGGAACTTTCTTAAAACCTCTAGTGTTTCAAACAGTTATATTTTTTGTAAAAACACACTACTTACTAGAAAGTTTTGCACAAATGTTTCACGTTAATTGCACATAAATGGATTTAATAGTTCAATTATTTTAGGTTTACTTTAATCTTGTTCTTAACCATAAGACTAGCTTTCAGTAATCATATATTTTACTGTTAGACTTGGACTAGCTTTCAGTAATCATATATTTTACTTTTAGACTCAGACCACCTTTCGGTAATCATATATTTTACTTTTAGACTCGGACTAGCTTTCAGTAATCATATATTTTACTTTTAGACTCAGACCACCTTTCGGTAATCATATATTTTACTTTTATACTTTTTTGTCTCAATTAGCTTTCAGTTGACATATGTTCTACTTCCAGTCTCAGACAGCTAAGCCATCATATAACAAAAATGTTGTACTGGTTTCTGTTGTTTTGGATTATTTGGTAAAAAAAGAATAATATAAAATACATTCTGCTTAATGACAAAAAAAGCAAGTTATTTCTTCAACTACAGTTTTTACAAATTATCTTAAATAACATTTGCTGATATGCATTATAGGTAGCATCTAAACACAACAATTTCACTTGATAATTTTCTCACATTCTGGTATCTCTAGTACTTTGTTGAAATAAAAACTCAAAATTCACAAAAGTGAAATAACAGACTAGCAAACTCACTAATACAATAATCAATTCACCAGTGTAACAGACTCACAAAATCAGTTAATTGTAGTTTAACTCATGTTGTTCAAATAGTTTTACACTTTCTGAAGCTCTAGTCATTAAAGCTAACTATTTGTGCAACATAAAAATCTAGCCAAGAAATTCAAATGTCTAAATTAAAAACAGCCTGTAACAGTATGTTTTACTTGCAGTTTCAAACTAGTACTCAATCTTCTACGTTAAGTCTCAGTCTAGCACTCTGTTGTAATTTCATATTTATTCTTATTGAACTCGAGGCTTTTTATTTTTGTAAATAATCAAATCTGTTGCCGCTCCTAAGAGGTTCTGTATAAATGATGATTGCATAATATTTTAGAGTGTTAATCTTTCACTAATGGCTGGGTTCATATTGAAACATGTTTTCACTTTGTGAGTGTCTGTGTTTGATTCTGATAGTAACTTTATAGTATTTCTAAAAAAAAAAGTAAAGATTTCAGTCAGTTGATTTCTTTCATAAACCTCTATAGGTAAACCTAGGGAGTTACAGATGTGTTTTACATTTATAATATTTATTTCTAAAGTATAAACTATGGGATTTACAAATATGTTTTATATTTATAATATTTCTTTTTAAAATATAAAGATATATTCAAATCTTATTTTGTACTTTTGACAAAATTTAACAGTAATTTTATTACAAAATAAATTGAGAAACATTAACAAAATTGGTGTAGGTTTTTTGAGTTAAAATTCAAATATTATTATCTTGTTCTTTAATAGGACTATTGTATGTTACCAAAAAAGGATAAAACAATGGCAGCAGACCTAACTTCTGGTAAGTAATTGCTTTTTAGAAACTTAATGAAATGAAGTATTTATTCATTTGCTATTTAAACTTTATTATGAGAAGTTTTCATTGTGTTTAATGACTGTGTTATTATTTGGCTTTTTTTTTTTCCAGGTTCAGTCCCACATTTCTACAGGGACATTTATGACATTTTATGTCCAGACCAGCAAACACAACTGGACCAAGACATGTTCATCAAACTTCTGATGAAGTCTAGTCTTCCAAAGGAAACACTTACACGGGTATAATTCCCCAAGTCTTGTTGGTTTTCAGCTTCACAAAAATGACTTTAAGAGAAATGTATTAGTTCTTACTTGTCAGTTCATTTCTGTATTTTAACAGTTTCTCTTAAAGAATATTCCAATTCTTGCTTTGGTCTTACTGGATGTAGCAAAAATAGTCATATCAAGAAGGCAACACAAGAAGAACCTTTATACAAAAATCTTTAAAATTATTCAAAAAGTTTAGCATAAAACCAACACTATATACAAAGAAATAATGAGAGAGAGCTAAAAGTTAGGAAATTTATTTAAAACACACATTATTGTGAGGAAACTTCTGTATCCAAAGTGCTAGTGAAGTATGACTTTGACCCTAACAAAGTAACAAGAATGAGATTACTTAAAATAAAAAAGATGTAAAAACTTAATTAAGATATGTAAAATAATTTAAGATATTAAAGTAAGAAATAAAAGCAAATTACACGGGAGAGGTATTTAACATTTTTATTGTGCCTATTGGGTTACTTTAATTAAATGGCTAATGTTTTCTTGATGGAAACTAAAGTGTTGCAAAAATTTATATTTCCACAATAGATATGGGAACTGGTGGATTGTCATCATGGTTACCTAACTCGCTCAGGGGTTTACAAAGCCTTAGCTTTAATTGCTGTAAGTCAACAAGGAAAGCCAGTCAATGATGTCGTGCTCCAGAACTTTGGTTGCCAAGGTAGTGTGATGATATTAAATTGATGAATCATAATTTTATGTATGCATCAAAGTAAATTTTAGTAAAAGAAATAGAAAAAAATCTCACCAGATTGGTGTAGATTAATGTCTAATAATATAATTATCAATTATAAATAGTTCTAACCATGTATTAAAGTTCAAATAAAAACTTGATAATGGCTTTTATAAGCCACTTACACTTTATAATCAACCAGAAATTAAAACAAAAGCTTTTCAATAGTTAGACAGACGTGTAATTGCTTATTAAAATGTTTGTCGACCAGAACTCCCTCGGCCTTCCCTGGGAGACTTGTCTGATTTGAAGGCTTTGAGTGTTCGACTAAGAAGAGAGAAAAACCCTACAAGACTAAGCATGTCCTACCGAGAAGTCTGTTCTAGGGACATAATCAAAGTTACTCTGATACCCAAAAAGAAGGGACTCATCTTGAAACATGTAGAATATGAAGTATCTAGTCAGGTCAGGATCAGTCTTAAGAAAATACTCAAGAGTATAGATACTGCTGTTACAGGAGTTAGTTGTATATCAGGTGTGCCCTAGAAAATAGTTCCTTTTTACAGTTTCATTTTTCTTCACAAAGTAAGTCTTAATAATAGTAATATAAACTGTTGATAGTTTTCTGCCTACTTCAGTAAGTCATTACACATTGGCATCATGTAACAGTAATCAACTACATAGTTGTAACAATGGCTAGAATAAGGATTCTTTGTTATTTGAAACTGTTACACGATGAACAACTGATTTAAATCAACTACATAGTTGTAACAATGGCTGGAAAAAGGATTCTTTGTTGTTTGAACCTAAATCATTTGTTTTTTAAACATGTTATTTTCCATTTTTTGCACCTGTAATAAATTTTCTGATGTTGAAATAAGAATTGCTACATAGTTTTCTTCCATTTAAACATGGTAAGTTTCACTTGATTAACAGAAATATAATATTTATATTTTATCTTTTTTATTTTCAAATAACTAAGGAATCAGTCAATCTTTGTTTTACCGAGTTATTCAGAATTAAGCAGTCACTAAACATATATTACAATTTAAACATTTCCTTAAAATGATTTTGTCCTTTTAATACTTGTGCACATAAAGTAATGATTTTCTTTTGTTTTCTTCAGAGATTTAATTCTGTTGTCCAGAGAAGATACAATGACTTTGTAGTTCTACATGAAATGTTGTTACACAGATTTCCATACAGAATGATACCTCAGCTGCCTCCAAAAAAACTTGTCAAAAGTAAGAATTACATTAAAGCTTAAGAATTGTTTGTATTTTAGACTTAAAGTCTATAATACAAACACCCGTATTATAGAGTTAACTGGTATAATACATACACCCATATTACAGTCTTAACTGGTAAAATACAACCA